TAATTGAATTATGGTGATTTCTATTGATATATTGTTTATCTGGAAAATTATTTTGTCATTTACGCTATTCCATATTCAGTAGTATTATATCACACGTTCATGAAATCAAGCAAACGTATCATACAATTCCGTTTACTTCATTGATTGACATCAAAATTACTTTAAATGGAATTTGACATTCTCTTTTTTAAAATACTAATTGTACTTGCTGATAGTTTGTTTAGGTACAGTAGTAATTTATTAATTTCTAAATATCACATGATTTGACTTATTTTAATTGCCTAACTCAATTTCTTAAAAGTTATCCATAATGCACAAATCAAAAACATCAATTGTCAGGTTAATAATTAATAATAGTGAATTAAACCTTTTGATAAATGTAGATAATTTCACTAAGGTTTAACACAAAAACAAATCACTGTTTGGAAAGAATGATTAATCTTAGACAATTTAAAACTTTCAACGACTATATAATCAATATTGTTGAATGCAGCTTGTAAATCTATGAATGCAATTTACTCATATCTAGATTATAAATAGTATAGAACTGGAAATATGTGAAAAACTCATTCACTTGTTAATAAGAGATATTGTATTATGGTATGAATGAAATGCCCATTGAAATCGATCGATTAAGTTCGACAATATAAACTGTGATTAAACTATGGAACTTAATTAGGGAAAGCAACTCACTTGACCGTGATCTCTAGAATACACGTGGGAAAAAACAAAGGTGTTTATCTTTAGACACAGTAGTACGATTAATTAAATACGATTATTTACCTATCCATTTGGTTTTACATTAATTACAGATTATCAAATCCCTGTGGTGTGGATGTCGTTTTATGCACAACTAAATCTAATTCCAATAAACGGAGTGTCGATATTTCGTCAATTCATATGATGTTGTTTAAATTGGATAAATGTTAATAATATTCAAAGAACATAGTTCTCATGAAAAGACAATCGGGTTCAGCCTAGTCTGAGATGGATATCAACAAATCATAAGTTGAATAATTTTATGGATTTAATAAAGCTTGTTGTATTGAATAATGTGTGTAATTTCCGACTAGAAAAATGAATGGGATTTTAAGGTGTAACACCAGATTAATTAAATTTGACTCAGTGAAACTGAACCATTCTACATTTGATTTGGAAAACAGTCGATGTTATGTAATCTGAAGTCAAACATTTCTACTGCTTCATCATTTCTTGCACTTATTCCAGTAATACTATTTAAATCAATTTGATCATATTTTCGGGATTTGATTTAATTCTAAAACCATAAAGCAATATTATGTGATAAAAGTTTCGTTTATCTCGATGAGAACATTTTATTATTTTCAAACTTTTCAACCTCAATCACATGAATTTTTAGTTTGATGCGATGCATTCCTTAAACTCAATGTTGGTCGGGTCATAAACTAATCACGCGATTTCTCATATATAGAAATTTAGTTTGCGATATAAAAGTAATCGTAGCAGTAGAAATAATTCAGAAATATATGTTAATCTCCACATATATGTGTGATACGAACTGATTGAGATAGTTCGTTTATTCACTGCTTCTTATTTGTAGTTACTCATGGTAGACCGATCAATTTCGGGCAAATTATTGTTGTCATAATAAATTGGCTTGTTGGTCTACAAAATTATCATTCAACATTGTTACTGTGATTCAAACTGAGAGCTTTTCGTTCATTATCCAAGTGATTGATATCGATTTGTGTTGAAGACCAATCCAACTGTGATTAATTTGCATCAACCCTCTAACCCTGAGTATAGAAAACTAAAAGAAAAAACGAAAATGGGACTGATTGTTGAAAGACTATGATATGGATTATTAAGTTAATGAAGATTATTGTGAATGAGATTTGTTCATAGGCGATAACAGTCATTAAGAAACATATAGGTGTTTTGGATTCCAATCTGTCGTGTTCTGATTATTTTTCCGAATTAGTATGATTATATCAGATGAAATGGACGAATGGACAAGACTGAATATTAATCGACAATAGAAAAGTATGACGGAATGTAAAGTCATGTCCATTGAAGGCTATTTTACAAACAGTAAATGTACATATCTACTTTCAGGTTATGTGGTGGATTTTAATGCGTATATTCAACTGGACAATTCAGTGAATCCATAATGCTAATTCTTCTACTCTCAGTAATATCAATGATTGTAATCTAGATTTGGTTACAAAGTGACAAAATATTTCAACCACACATAAGTATGAGCTAATCACATTCACTGGTTAGTTTGCTTTTATTGTTTAACAAATGTATGTTCACGTTTGAGTAAGATTTGGTAAACGGAAAATTGTTTAATCATCATTTGATATGTTTACCTTGTAGAGATGGTGACGAGAGTGGAATACATAAACACCTGGACATATTAACACTTTCTGAATGACGTTTGTCATTCACATGACTGATTGATGATTACCTGTAAATTCAGTAGTAAAACAAATCGATGCAATCAACTGACCGAATTTCTCACTTACTTCATAGTTTTGCAAGTCGACCGAAACAAATGTATTTATAAACTGCACACGTGACTGTACAAATATTTGTTGGAGCAATGTTGCTGAAATATTTGAAAATATCGGAGTGTAAGACTGTCCGATTTTTAGTATAAACGTGTTGCATTACTAATTCAGTGTGTTAACAACACGGTGAGTGGTTGGAGGTAGTCCATCCTTTGTACTGGTGCTTCCTTTCGTCCAGCACCACTTTGCACGTTGAGAGGGTTGTTTGTCGATCTCTTTTGAAGTTAGCCTTTTCTTTACTATTTACACCTAATAGGTCTCACTTATTCCAATATGTTTCAGGTTGAATCTCGTCGTTTTAGTGACTATTCAAAGCACTTCCTCAGTCCGGCACGTTGTTCGGCCATTCCATATTCCCATCAGTTGCTGTTTTCCTGGTTATTAGAAGGGGGGTCGGTCTTGTGACTTCCGGAGTCTACTGGTTTCCTCGATCAAGTGTCTTAATGTATCTACACACTGATTTTTATCAGAATTCTTTGGCTATCATTTCTTTACCAGAGTTTGCTTTACGAAGTGTGGTCGCTGGCCGTACACTCCACCCTCCTCACTAACTGGCTTCATGACCGGGAGTTTCTCCTCAGTGGTAGAAGTCACGAGATTTCATAATGAGAAACGGTAATATTAACTATTCATGTTGTAAATAACGAATAGCGATTTTTTTGCGATGTCTGTATCAGGTTGACGTTGTGGGGAACACACTCTCTCACACCATTATTCAGTTATTTCTATATCTCGAAGTTCGCAACAGGATGAGGGACATCTGTCATGCTCTTCAGACGCAGATCTTTATGTGACCAACTTCGGTTGAGTGTTATAGAATCCGCTTATTTCATCTGTTGTTAATATCAATCTATTTTATAAATTGGAATATTGATTATCAGTGTTTTCTCTTGTTTGAAACTCGTCATGTAGATGTATTTCAATTGCATTTTTTGTTGTTAACAATGAGACCCACAGCTGGAGGCATCAACCGGTCATCCACGGAGCTACTGAGTGTAAATTGATGTTAATTTATTTAACGAGCATGAAGTTATTTATTAAAACGGGGAGATAGAAATACTAAAAATAACTTCACACCCGTTGAACAAGTTAGTGTTTACGCAGACTGAGTAGCTCGATGCATGATTTGTTGGCTTTTCAGTGACGTGTACTGGGTTCGAGTCTCAGTGTGAAAATCAACAATGAGATGAGCATTTAAACATTTGACGAGTGCGAAATGGTCAAATAATGTTTGTTTTACATTTCATTGGTAATTATAATTGCTACCTTACCAAAGGTTTTGACCAAATGACAATACCGAAGCAATCCATGTAGGATGATGCATGTACATCAACAGAGACTGATCAATTACATTATTTAACATCGACCACAGAAAATTACACACTGCTACTAATATCTTTCCATATAGAAATTAGTCATCCAATTAGTGCTAATCTCTAAAATAAACAAGGATTCTTTATTTTAAATTCAACACAGTTATTTTTCAAACTTGTTCTGATAAGGCAAAATAGATTCTTATGATAAATAATATATTAGAATGGAATGTTTTAGAATTAAATTATTAAACAAAAGTTATAATCACAAGTTAGAATATGAAATGAGACTTTGTGAATAAGAGCTAATAAGAAAGTATGCTTCTTTCAATAATCTATTCGTAAATTATTTTCTAATCGGTGAAGTAATGTCGTTTTTCTATTGAGAAGAAAGTATCATATAAAATATGATATTTGAGATTGAAACGTGATCCACTTTGTGTGTTTGAGCAGAATAGTGATTTTGTTTTTAATTAAACTTTGATTGTTCTATTTCTTGATCGAATTTTAATATGTGATATTAAAAGTTCCGTTCAGCACTGGTAACGAACGCTGCCATAGCTGCATTGTAATTGGCAATATTCAATTGATTAGGGGCTATGCCTAATTCTTCAATACAATATTTAGCTTCTTGTAAATCCCATCTTTCTGTCAGTGTTGGATCATCCGTATTAATGGAGAAATTGAGTTTATCCGCAATGAAACGATGTACAGGATGATTGTTTGGATTTCGACCATCAACGGAACCAGTTACAAAACTTGACGATGGACATACCTAAATCATAAATAAATACTTTACTTCAAATAAGAAACATTGATTCAATGAAGGGTTGTCTTTTTGGCGAATTCATTTGTCAAAACTGTACAATCGGAAGTATAAAGTTATTTTCCAAAGTGATAATAATTGCAATCCTAGTGATAATAAAGTTCTACTAAACATGATAATAGTGAAGTAGAATAGACAAAGGGATACCAAAATTATTGTTAGTTTACCTAATAAAAATTACGTTTTCATGACTTTATTTATTTTACCTAACTGTTATCTTGTTTAACGGAATTTTTTTATCATTATTATTGTAATTTTTATTTGATTATTTCACCTCTCCCTTATCTTGTTGAACAAACCTTGTTCTAGCTGAATTTGATGTCAGGAATGGGCGCTGTATTCGGATGGTTCATATATAATGGTTCTCATCAAAAATGCATCAGAATGCGAGCGGTAACTTGGAATCCTAAAGGTAATCGGAAAGGTTTAATGCCGAAGCACACACATAGTCGGGAATTTGAAGCAGACATCAAAATTATGGACAGCAACTGGAAGATATTGCTTGGGACGTGTGAATGGAAAATGCTGGTTTACGGTCTATGCTCCTCTGTGAGAGGTTACAAGTGTAAGGAAGCAAGAATAGCATATTTACCTACAGATGATGTTCGTTAGAAGGGAATATTTAAAGTAAATTTTATTCTTACGACTTGTTTGTTGTAGTGACTATGATCTGAACGTTATTACAGCCTTCTTATAATATCTTTCACTTAGATTGCTTGGTTTACTATCTTCTGTTCATCAATCTCTTTCATCCTGCCTTTAAACTGCCATATTTCTATGAATGTGTTTTTCAGACGTATTTGTATGACAACGAATTTATACATCCTCGAAATCATATTGTTAGGTTGGGTTTCATTAGAGCTGTTTTCTTTATCTTAGGAAATTTATAAACTTCATTCGAAAGATGTAAATTTCACATTATTGATGTTATAGTGCTGTGTCTAACACATATACAAGTATGAGGATTTAAGGTCAGTGAGCCTCTAAACAAATCTTCTTACGTTGATTATTAAAGTTCTAAGATTTATTCATTCTTTGGATCAAAATTCGATGCTTATGTCTATAAATAATTGAAATATTTTTATTCATATGTAATGCGCCATAAATTTTAATACCTAACATTGCTCTAAAGAAGAGAAGTTATGTGATGAATTGTCGTTTATCAAATTTCTTTCTCAACTTCAAGAAGTAATGGTTGAACATGAGTAATGCTATAATGAACATTATATGTACCTTTCGGAAATGATACAATGTAAATCCGAAAACTAAATGTAGAGAGCTAGTAACCTGGAGAAAGGTGATTACGGAGCTCATGATTTTCACGTCAATATTCATTTCACTAAGAACTAATTAACTCAGCTGACCAAGTATTCCTTTTTGTATCGGTTTTACGTCACACTTTGTTTATGCAACCCGCTACGAAATCCGATGTAAGTGAAACTTAAATCTCAGACTCAGAATTTGGATGCCAAGCGCTTTAACCGTTAAGCAGCCATTGAATCATGATAAACATAGTAGCTTGTGATTTACTTGGTCAATGCATGAATGTTATGCTTTGGAATTACTTCAGACCAACAACATGCAATTTAACCAGGAAAGTTGATCCTCAAAATAATATACTTTTCATACCCAACATTCATGTGATCTCATTCTATCTTCTTTTTGGTTTCGCGTATAAATTAACATAACTATGAAATTATAATTGTTAGTAAATTACTTCATCCATAATACCAAAACAACTTTGATTTATCAAAACAATCATCAGAAGACTAATGAACGATATGTTCACTAAGTTTATGGATTGACTTCTGAAACTTATAAGTCGCCTGACGATGTTTACTATGATTTTCAACGTAGAGAAAAAAAACAATCAGCGTCCAATTATTTTCATTTGTTTTAATGCTAATGACACTTAGAAATATGATATGTCAAGCTGAGTAAATTAATTAACTAGAATACACCTTTTTAAGACATAAAATGCAATGAAAATGGTCTAACTAAATTCGAACGGCATATTTCACGAATAGTGCAAATTGAAATTGAGTATTTATACTGAAAGGGAAAACAGTGTATAGTTTTGAAATAATATTATGCCCTGACTTGATGTTATTGAAGTACGGAATTTTGTTGAAAACTTAAATCAGCGGTTATTAACTGAATAGACTGAAATGAGGATCATTTTTTGACATTTGTGTTCTTTTCATCAGTGATATTTTAATGTTACTAGTATCAGCTGTTCTAGTGGGCGACCTATGCTCCTCTTCGAGGGGTAACAGGAGTAAGTTAGTAAGTATCAGTTGTAGACTAACTGATCACTGATCAGTAATGAATGCCATGCTATTTACTCGCTTGTATTGAACAGAGTCTAGTAATTAAGTATCAGCTAAATATATTCATGTTTTGTGGAAATTTGCCTCAATGAAAATGATACCTCTTATGAGATTTGATTTTTAATGAATAAAATGATATAAAGATTCTGACGGAATTATCTCGATTGTTTGGAATGGTAAAAAAGAAATGTGGAATGCAACATCTTGAATGAAATGACCTCTGGAATACTTTAAAGTGAGCATCAAAACAGATGAGTAGTAGAATATATCACGGCTTTGACTATTCTATATGCTCTTTTGTTGTGAAATGACCTATATGAATTGTTATGCTTGCAAATTTCTTTATATTAATCATAACAAAGTAACTCTGGATAAAAAAACATTCTGATTGATATTAAGGAAAAGCAATAGGTATTTTTGACAATCAACACTGATGTCATCATAATATCGTAAAGAATCTATTTGATTATGCAATGTAATTTATATTTCACTGCTTATTCTGTTTGACCTTTATTTCAGACCTATTCAGTTTCTTTTTGTATATTATCATACTACTTACTAATATTCAGTAACTTATGTCATTGTCAATAATTTGTACATCTACAGCTTTATTTTCATTATTTTGAGCTATACTTCTAAGTATCTACAAGAATCTATTACATTTAATCCGATTATTATTACAATTTTTCCTAAACATTCTTAACGGGTTATCTCCATTGTACATCTGCTCATTGAACACTTGTTTTTTTCATAATGATCCCAATATTTTGTGTGTAGTGCCCAATTTGATTTGTTGGTTCTTACTCTTGAATTAATACAGCTATTGCTTATTGCTTAATTTATCGTATATTTTGTAAATAGTTCTTATATAACTACGATTTTCCTTTAGCCGCGTGTAAATGCCTTAGACATCCTATGAATTGATGTTTTCGAAATACATTGCTTGTTTTATCATCAATAATATTATCGTTTCATAAATAAATTATTTATGTTGATTCTGGTTGGACCTTAAACCTAAAGTGGAGTTGAGCCTGCCTTGATTACCTAATCAATATACCAGTAGACATTGAGACACCGCTTACGATTTTAGTTTAGGTTGTAATCCCATTTTCGTTGTTGCATTGCCAATGATCGAATTGGTCGAATTTGACGGAATGTCTATCAAATTTTGAATCTTCATGAAGAGATTTAAAATGGATTTTGTGGCTAGTGATTATAACAAACGATTAACTAAGAATGCAGTGAGCCATTGTTATTATTTTCTGAAGTCGAAAGCTACACTAAGATAATGGATATTTCGTTTTCATATTTCGGGTTTCCCCTACTGATGTAATTGAAATATTTTTATTGGATTTATTCACCGGCTCACCGCTGCATCTAGAAGAGGTGAGAGTGAAAAATCTCATAAAAAAGACGATTAATTGTAAAATTACCGTCATAAATGAAGCATGGTGCTGACTCGCACTTTTTCACTGACTTAAAATGCATAATACAGTGTTTAACTTTAGTATTCCATCTTGAATAGACAGATGTTGTGAGCATCTTGAAGAATTATTCAGATCTGTTTTCTCTGATCTACTCGAATTTCTAGAACGATCAACTGACAGATTTGTACTAGTGTCCTGATCCCCATAGTCGTTGTCAGTGGGTTTAAAAAGTGTCTGACATGCTAAAGACATTTATACTACCTTTCACCTACATAAAGCCTAACCATCGAGAGATTAACTGCTGACAGTTTATGTTTTACAATATTGCTGGATCTAGTTCCCAACAACATAAATTGCTACACAACACGGACAGCTTTAGAACAACAGGTCTCTTAATCTTTCACTACACCAGCCGGCGCTCCCCTACGATTTAATCCTTTTAGACTACATGGTTAAAATATATGATTAAATAAAATCGCTTTGCCAGACAATGGTTTCTGGATCCGATCGCCTTTGGGATAGTGAATGAATACTGCTGACGAACCCTATTCTAGGACGAAGTAAACGTTCAATGCACCCTGGCCTCTGATTTTCATCTAACTCATATGAGTTCATGATCTATACTACGGAATATTGATTACTTTAACGTTATTTACTGTTAGCTACGTTAGATCCCCAGAACTCACTTGAGAAAGGACCTAATTTTGTAATTTTATTTAAAAAATTTGAATTTATTTTCGCGCCAAAGGCGCTCTTGTCACTTTCATGTCATATTCCCCACTGAGAAATATCTTAAATGCTATTAGTCCGTTGCGTCTTTCAGTATGCTATTTGGTAACTTTCCCCAAGGACGGTTTTGTACTGTATATATACGTTTTGAATTGTGTTTGTTGTTATCGCTCGTTTCTGGCTGTTTGTAGAATATACTTCCCCATTCTAAGCTTGGACTTCTCCTTCTAGTTAGCGAGGCTGAGACGCATCAATAGCTAGCTTACTGGTCTTTGGTCACTGAGTCTTGTTTCTCATTCGCAGATTAAGTGAACTCATGATAGCTTCAACCTTAGCATTTACAGAAATGAATATGCATACAAGATTTGATTGTACTAGTCTGATGTATTATATTAAAAGATTTATCATATTTTTTTATAAAAAAAACATATACGCACACAAATATTTAAGGTGCCAATTTTAGTAATCCGTTGTATAGAAAAATACAAAAGAAAATATCAGAATAATTACTAATAAAGTTTTCACAGCTAATTAGCAGACAATTTCAAAGAGTTTTTAATAATAATAATAATAATAATAATAATAATAATAATAATAATAATAATAATAGTCGTATTCATATTAATAGTAATAATAATGACAATAATACCTAACATTTTAATAAAACGTCTATTGCTAACGTTAAACAAACTTGATTTTTTTTATTTTTCAGAAAATAATCTATATTTTGTCCTCAGTAAGAAGAAAGAAAAAAAAAAGAAACAAGTGAAAAAGGTTAATCAAAATATGAATGTTCTTATTGTTATTGTCGGTGTAAATCACAAATAATTTGAATCTCTTCTAGTTCAATGTTGTTTTAAATGAACATTATTTTGTTGTGGTTGCTGTTTATTTGACATATTCTTTATTTTTTCTTCCAGTAAACTAACATGATATATCATATTCATATAGATTAAAAGAAAAATTTAACAAATATCATTAAACAAGATTATTAAAACCAATTTTTTCCGGTTTCATTAAATCTTGTTCTTTATCTATTGAATGTGTATTATGATAATGATTAATAAAGTTATTATATAATTCAGTGACAATTTCTCCTGTAATAATATCACCTGAATTAATAGTTAACATACGAATGATGAATACACCATCAGCACGTAAATATTTATCAATAAATTCATTTAAATCATTTTGTTTCAATTCATCACCTTTTAATGAATGAATACCTTTTAATCTAAGATAACGTTTAATGAAATTTTTACGTTTTGATGCTAAAATCATACGTGTTAACCATAATAACAAACTAAGAATACATATGATCAGTAAGAAAACAATCCAAAACCAGAAAAATATATAAATTTTTTCATTTAACATATTTATAGGTAATGCACATTGTGCAGTATATGAATTTTTTACACCAACTAATCTTATACCCGGTACACGACAATATGCTACACGTGGAAATAGCATAGTTTCAGGCCAATCACGTCCAGAACGTATATGATTAACAACAGTTAAACCAAATCCATAACCTTCAACATTTTCATTTTCTGAATAGGATAAATCATTTACTGAAGTTTATAAAAGAAAAGTCATGAAAAATATACATTATTATATTCATTTCATTAAATATTGAATTTAGAAATGAGAATCCTTGAGTTCCGACTTAGTAATCTAAATGTAACGTGTTCATAGGTTCAATCTTTGAAGAATAGAGCATGTGGATGAACATTTCTGAGAAGTTCCATACTAGAACAAAATATATGTTGACTTTTAATGGTTAGTTGTTTTACAAAGATGAACTAAAATTATTAGCCAATATTTGATTATATTGACTGTCTTTAAAAGAGTTGAGTAAGTTACTACTACTCTGCACAAAACGAATTCAATTCCAATTCACCAACCAGTTTTACAAACAAACTAATAATGTAACTGTATAGTCACTACCACAAAGGTGTTTATTCAAACATTTTTGAACAAATTTGCAAAATGATGTGTCAAATTTCGCCAGTTCCATAAATCCGAAAACCAAACAAATGGAATAATTGCACAAAATTTGAAGTTACAAAATAATTATTATGTACAGGACTCCTAAACATTTTTTACAAACCCTAATGTATACATATTACATATCTTTACTTCATAATTATCTACGTTTCAACTGGACGTATCTGATGTCAGTGATTATGATGTGTTTGTAAGTAACATATAACACAAATTAAGTGCCCTTTTACTAATCACAACGTTATATAAATACCTGACTGATGTGTAGTAATAAGATTAAAGCCACTACTCGTAAAACTTCCTTTGACCTCCTTTTAGCGTCAAACCCAAAATAAAATACTTGAGTTATGTTAGTGGAAGGCTTATAGTGATTTCGCTATCAAACTACATACAAATGATATAACATAGCTAATTAATCATCAATTCAATCAGTAGTAATTCTTTGTAGAAAGCACTCACACAAACAGTAATTTTATGATGTTCAATAGTAAAACATTTGTTCTTTTCTTACAACTTAAATATTATGCCTTTTACCTGAATATTTGGTCAAACTTTGATACAAGTATTCAGTAATCGCTTATTTACATGATAATGACCATATAACATATGAATACATATTTTAAAGAAAAATCAGAGCAATTTGTCAGTCTAGGTAATCAGTGAATGGCTAATGAGCGGAGATAGATACATCTAACTAAATCAAATATGAAATACCATCCCAAAACTGCTTCTAACTGTGTTGGTACGACACTATTCTTGTTTATATCCTCTTGTTCTTGTTCAACTGTCGAATAATTCAATCGAGGGTATCATGTGTTCAAGTATCGTATTCTATTGATTTAGAGACCGAAGTTCAATGTTGTATTGAATAAATCAATTATTCTCCATTATAAAGAACGTAGATGACCTACACAATGAAATCTAATAGTAAACAGTTAAAACAACGACTATTATTAATTAATAGTATAATCATTATCAAACTTACATGCTTTAAAATCGGTCACTTTGCCTAATTGTAAGCTACGTCGACTTGCACTGCCATTTGAATAAAAGCCCAAAAAACGTTGAATTAAAAATAGTTGTAATGCAGCATTAATAATTGTAACGATTTTTACGCATAAATAAGAAAATATCAAGTGTGTACCGAGTCTTTTACTAGCTACAAATATCCCACCAAATTGAGCAGCTGTTTTAGTCAGTTTAGCACGTTTACCCTTAGAAAAAAAAGAGAGACAGAGTTAGAATACAGTAAAACTGGAAAATGCAGTTTACGGCTGTGTTATAGTAATAATAGTAATTATATATATATATATATATATATATATATATATATATATATATATATATAATATATATATATATATATATATATATATATATATATATATATATATATATATATATAGTCATTTAGTTGCAAGTTATAGTAGAGTTGAATTTTGGGTTAACAGCGAAATTCAAGTTCTATTCGGTATTTTTCGGCTGAAAATGGATGCATCATTGTGTTGTCGTTCACACTGAGACACAAAGAATATATTATTTTACTTTAAACTCCGCCAAGTTATCCACTGAGTAACTGAGTCAACATAGCCATCAGCTTGTTCAATTGGTATGAATATATTTGTACGGGTCTGTATTTTTTTTTGCTTTTAGTATTACGGACTATATTTGATCCATCATTTTTTAGGATAAGTCATGAATGATTGTTTTTGGAATTTGTATAGTCTGTATCATTATTTAGACTCGAGTTTGATGGGGTAATGGCATATGGTTGTAAGACCCGTACTAGTCTTAAAGAAGGAGCTATCATCATGTGTTGAGGAATAGTGATCTACTCGTTGGCGACTGAATGTGACGGTTCGTAGTCAATGAGTCACTAATACTTCTTATGCTCACAAATTCACTATTCCTGAAAGTGAAGGTTCGGCAAAATGTCCGATAAATTATAAGCATTTTAACTTTAGACATGTATATATTAACCCTTGCATAAAGCAAGACAATCTTATTGTAATGACCTTATCATGGTCGAAAATCTTAACTTTTTTATTATTATAGCTGGTTTGCAGAGTTAGATTTTATTGTTTATATCATAAACTAACCTCAGTTAAACAAAACTGAAACTGAATAATTGTCTCAACCTAGTGTGAGGCTCATCAGATGCGATCACTCAGTGGCCAATTTCGATGGGTAAATCATGAGGCTCTTGTAAGAAATTGTGACCAGTGGAGCTCAAACCTATTGGATGTGAGACAATCACCCACTAATGGGGTTGGTAGATGATTGAGCAATATTGACAATTAGTTGAATTTAGAAATTTCAACCATTGGACTTTGACTCAGTGATCTGAACTTTAAGCCTTTGTTATGAGATTTGAAGGTCTCGGGTTCTATCAGTGGAGCCCTACTAAATAGTCCCATACTTGGGGATATATTTAACAGTTCAGTTCAAACAATCAATTCCCAATGGCAAACTTATTTTATCACCAAACAGTCAAACAATAAGCACAATACATTTTGTAATGATTTCGATTATCCTGTTGTTGTTATTTCAGTCGAAATTTGGTCAATCTTAGTTGACACATGGGCATCCTATGCGGATTCCCTGGATAAAACTTTTATGACATAAGTTTATATAGAGTAAATGGAATGTGGCTAACAGTGAAATCCAGAACGAGTTTCAGATTAAATGGAACGCACTTCCTGGATTCCACTACTAGTCACATTCAATCTATTTTACGTAAATAAACATAACATTTTATTTGTTCGATGAAAAATGTAAAAATGTCTTAAATAGGTTTAGAAACGTTTACCATAGGAAATCTGAAACTCAGTAAGATATGTCTAAATTAACTTACTTTCCGACATTCTTTGTGCATTCCAATCATGTCCTCGATGAATTCCGCTACACGAGCTACTGCTTTCTGACGATCATCTCGAGATAGTATGGCAGCATCTGCCGCTGACTTTACTAACGAAAACATATCACCGCCAGAACGACAAGCGCAAGCAGCTTGCCAAGCAATATGTGGAATATAAAATAATATGCACTGTAGGCCAAGTACAAACGGTACCCACTGATAATAAGCTAACAATGCAAAATAAAGTGGGAAAAATTGGACAATGAATAATATAAAGTGTTATTTGATCAATATATTGTAAAGGATCAATCAACTGAAGAATTATTATGTATTGACCAGTGACTTGTTTCTGGCTGGGTTCCAGAAGTTCTTAGAAGAGGCTATGTTTGGTAGAATTTGATCATTTCGTTAGTTATGAAGATGTCGTCGATTACATCTTATAATCATCGCATTATTGGTTGGCTGAAGTTGAACTTGCAGACTATTAGATTTAGACGCAGTGGTAAAAAGGTAAGATGCTCACCGCGAGACTTGAGAGTTCTAGGCACGATCTTTGGTTTGGTCGAAGAGAAGGACTGTTAAGAAGCTTTAAACTAGAACGAAACAGTTTTATCTACTTTACAATGACTCTCCACCTTAGGTTACTCCGTGAAGAAATCATCTAAGTGATTTTGATTACATCACAAATTAACAATTCTTAGTTAATCCCAAGTTAGTTAGTTAGTTAGTTAGTTAGTACTACACAGTAGTATTACATACCTAACACATTTGTAATCTGTTTAGTTACATTATGAACATTTACTAGTAAAATTATTCCATATATTTTCACATTATATATATATATATATATATATATATATATATATATATATATATATATGTTTCATGATAAATATTGATCACCAGACACGGTGTCCAGAATAAAAACGAGATGTATTATGTTTACGTAAACTAGAGTGATATCAATACACTTTAGTTCAGACTGATTCTATTTTACATGATCATGGAACATAACACAGTGAAAGTAGGTTGGATTGATCATCATTACAAAAAATTGTATACTCATTAGTTAATGAAAAACACATAGAAATTCATTATGGTAAGAC